CAAATCAAGTATTGGAATTAGGAAATACTTGTCCTATACCTTGCTGACCCCAAGCTAGATTCCCAACTCGCTCTGTTGGTTATTGGTTAAATCCCCGATTCAGTTCCTCAACTTTCATTTTTGAACTAAATTTACCCTCGAACTTCAAAAAGTACTAAAAAAATCCTTAAACTTCAATTTTCGAGACCAATTTCGTCCTTCCGTTGACGGAAGTGCCAGATGGCACGTTAAGTTGCCACGCAATCAATTCTTGTTTGAAATCTTTAATTACGTGGAAAATAACTTAACTCATTATTATCCACATCATTTTAATTAATTTATATATTAAAAATTTTAAAATTCCTTAAATACCCCATCTTCATCTTCCATCCCCTCTCGTCTCTCTCTATCCTCAAATGTCTCCTCATCTTGCAACCCAATCAGCAAGGATCATCCCTCATTGCTCCCGTCATCCCTCATTGCTCCGGTCATCCCTCATTGCTCCGGTCATCCCTCATTGCTCCAGTCATCCCTCATTGCTCCGATCATCCCTCATTGCTCCGATCATCTATTACCACTCCAATCACCATCTACTTCTTCCCCAAACCTCCTCTCTAACAGAACCCAAATCTGGTTCCTCACACAATAATAATGACCAATAGATCTGATTCAAAAAATCAATTCCTCTGCAAATGTATACCAGATCTGTAAAGAAAAATGTAAAAAACACAACATCTCTTCAATCAACACCAACAGTAACTAGATTTTGAAATTCAAGCAATCAAAAGCCACACAAAACTCTAAATCCCATTCCAACATAGCCAAGCATGACTGCAGCCAACAAAAAAACAGAAGAAAAAACCTAGGTGGGTTCGACTCAAACCCAGGCACTAGGTTCAGAACCAAGGCGCTGGGTTCGAAAAATCCAGGCCTTGGGTTCGAGGAACCCATGCCTGGGTTCCATCGAACCCAGGCGTGCTAGGTTCGAAGGAACCTAGCCCTAGGTTCCTCAAACCCAAGCCTTGGGTTCCTTTGAAGGAACCCAGCACCTGGGTTCGAGGGACCCGCGCCTGGGTTTGAGGAATCCAGGCGTTAGTGCTGGGTTCCTTCGAACCAAGTAGGAAGGGGAAGGAGAAAAGGAAAGAGAAGGAGAAAAAAAAATGGAAAGAAAAGAAAAAAGAAAGAAAGGAAATTTTTATTTATTAAATTATATTTTTGGTGCTAAGTCACAATATTTTTATAATTAAAAATG